AGTGCCAGACTGCCCATACCATGCGCTAAACCTGTTGCCCTGAGGCAGTGGCAGAGAAGGCAGAGTTCTCTCTTTATCTGAGTCCCCTGTCCAAAGACGGAGACTGAAGCCCCCTTTCTGTTAAAAGCAGGTTTAAAAAACACTTCAAATGAAATCTAGGTGTCCAGCAAAAAGAAAACAAAGCTCTGAATTCGGGAGGACTCACCGCTGTGCACCCAGGAAACCTCTGGAGGGAGGGGAGCACGGTGGGTTCTGCTCATACCACCCCAAGTCCTGGAAGGAGCCCCGGGTGGTCAGGGAAGAGGGTCACCGAAGCCTGCTGAATTACGCCAGATAGGCTGACCTAATGGAAAAAACTGAGGCAAAACTAATGTGAAGTACAGAGTTTATTGGAGCCAGGCTTGAGGACTGCAGCCCCGGGGCACAGGGTCAGGGCAACCCTTTACATTCACGCCTTCCAGGGAGGCAACGTGGGTCATGGAACATCTCGAAGGAACTCGCTGATCCATTCAGCAACCCCTGCACGCAAGGCTCAAGCGCTGACCAGGGTCCCTGCCCAGCCGCAGGGGCAGCTCCACAGTGTCGTCCGGAGGTTGGCCACGTGGACGGCAGGAAGAGCGTCCCAGCAGAGGGATCAGCACACAAGGGGTCTGGGCAGGAAACACCAGGCATTGGAGACAAGTTGGGGGCTGGTGTGCCTGGAGAGCCAGGGGGCTGGAGGAAGGTGAGGCTGGGTTTTGAATGGGGACCTTGGGCTCCAGAGCAGATACTGGGGGAACAGGCTGTCATGCTTCTGATGGGGGCCAGGAGAGGGAAGAAGCCACGGCCACTGTCCAGGAGCTCCTGAGCAGTGTCCCCACCCAGACCCCAAGGCCTTAGTGACCTCCAAGGAGAATGGTCCAGCCCTTACAGGGCCACAGCCTCTGCTGGCCCCTGCCCTTTCCACCTCATCCCCACAGCCTGAGCCTGAGCCTGCCACTGCGGGGCCCCGTTAGCCAGGCCCAAGGGCAGAGGCCAGGCCTGGGCTCCTGCTCAGTATTGCCTTGGTGGCCCCTCCAGTCTGCATCTGCGGACTTCCTCCCTCCAGCCTGTCTGACCTCAGCCTTCAGCCCCCTACAAGTCACCCAACGCCTGGAGCCATGTGACCCCCAGTGGCCATGATGGTCCGCTGAGGCCTGTGCTCCAGCCCCGGGTTCACAGGTACCTGGAAGGCACCAGAACACCGTCAGCTTGGAAGGGTCAGGACTGGGCTCTAGGCAGCAGCCTGGAAGGTCTGGGAGACCATGGTATGCGCTCTAGGTGGGGGCTGGGGGGCCTAGAGCCCCCTCCCCACAACAAGGGGAGAACCCCGCAGGCAACAAGGTGCTTCCTCTGCCAGCGCCAGCAGCAGAGCACCTATATCAGCCCCAGGTTGGCACCAAGGCCCATTTTACAGAGAAGGGAACTGAGGCTTGGTCAGGTCAGCCTGTGGGGCAAGAGCGGAAACCCAGACCTGTCGGTCCTCCCTGGCCGCCCACCCCCGCCTCTGGCCCCTGCTTCCCTAAGCGCCCTCCTCACCGGAGACCCCCGCCCCAGCTGCCCCCGCGCCCGGCCTGGCCAGAGCACGGCGGCCGAGACTCCAGATTTCAGAGGCCAAGCTGAGAGGCGCCCAGGCCTCCGCCGCTTGGATACTCAGGTTTGAGGAGGGCACACCAAACACGGGGAACATTGGCAGGGCAGCCCCACCCACAGCAGAGCTGGGACCCGCGAGCCCACGCCCAAGCCGGACGCGCGGGGTCTCCTCCAAGGCCGTCGGGGCGCTCCTATCCCACCGCGGCCACCCGGAGCCCGAGTCCGTGGGGAGGAAGCACAGGGGCGCGGGGAGCCGGCGAGCAGCCCAGCGGAACCCCGGGATGGCGCGGGCCTGGCCACGGTGGGAGGGAGCGGGGGGGTGGAATGGAGCTGCGGGTGAGACGGAGCCGGGGGCGGCGGGGCGGCTGCTCTTATGAAGCAGAACTACAGACCGGGAGGCCGGAAGAAGAAGGACGAAAAGCAGAACGGTCCCCAGGCCCACAGGGCGCCCAAGGGGGGGCTCCACAGGAGGCCGGGAGGTGGGAGTGGCAGAAAAGCGCCCTAAGCCCCAGGCTCGCCGTGCCAGCATCTTCCACACCCCGTGCAGCCCTGCGTCCCAAAGACCCCAGGGCAGGAAGGGAGAGGGGCTGCGGGGGACCCCTGCAGCCAGCTCCTCCCAGAGCCTTGGCCGGGCAGCCTCCCTGCAGTTTCCACTGGGTGAACACTCGGCCTGCAGGGGCCCCGGGAAGCGCAGATCTCACCCTCCTGGGCTTCACAATCCCGTGTGGGGTGGTGGGGTGTCAGGAAAGAAACAGACAAACAGCCCGGGACCCCTCAGGGACAAACGCATCGAAGAAAAGGCAGGGCTGGGGGTGTGGGCACGCGCTCGGAACCCAGCTGCAGGCTCTGGGCTCTGTGGGCCGGTACCCGCGCTGTGGGCCATGCTACTCAGGAGGCCCAGTGAGGAGGATGGCTTGAGCCCAGGAGGTTGAGGCTGCAGGGGGCTGTGATGGGGCCCCTGCATTCCATCCTGGGTGACAGAGCAAGGCCCTCTCTAAAAAATAAACTAATTATTTAAGGAGGGACACGGGGCTGCAGAGTGAGGCCGGTCACGGGGCAAAGAATGCGTCGGTGCAGAGGGCGCATGCACAGGCCCTGCGGTGGGAAGGGTGACCTGCAGATGAACTGTGGCAGCGGCTGCCTTCCAGACAAGCGGACACAGTGTCCCTCCCACACACTTTTCTACACAGCAGCAGGGAGCAGAGAGCATAGGATCCAGAGAAAGGCAGCTCTGGGCTAGAGTGCAGGTGGGCAGTGGGGATGCCCAGCTGGCTGGGAGGAAGGCAGGGCCCACAGGGAACACAGGGACAGGCCCTGGACCAAGGGGATGCCCTGACACCGGAGAAGGTACAGATATAAGGGGGGAATGCAGGGAAGATCAGGGAAACAGCAGGTCCAGGGAAAGAAAAGATGTCCCAGAAAGAGACTGCAGTGCCAGGTCACTGCTCGGCCATGCCAGGGTTGACTCATCCTGGAGTTGCTGAGCCCCTGGCAGGAAAGCCACGCCATGGCTCCAGGACTGAATGTGAATGCCACTGGCCCTGCCAGCGCTTATGCCCAAGCTCCCTCCACTCTGCTCCTCCCAGGCCTTCCCCGCTCCTCAGGGACCCTGTGGTGCTCTTGCCTTGCTTGACCTTGGTAGCATGAGACACACCTGTGGCTGCCTGGGATGCAGCTTGGTTCTCTTCCTGCCTCACAGCTGCTGATCACCCCTAGGGGCCCTCTTCTCTCCTCTGCCCCCAAACAGGCCACAGGGGATCCCAGACTTCTCTCTCCAGCTCCTTTTCCAGGCGTACCCGCCCAGTGGCCTCCCAGACCCCCATGACCACTCCCACCCCCCACTCAAATCCCACAGGCTCTACTTGCAAACACACCTGGAATCCAGCTGCCTCTTACCCTCTGCTGCCATGGGGCCGCTCTCCTTCTCAGTCTGCGGTCACCTCCTCACAGGCCCCACGAATCCCTTCCCTACCGCCAGCCAGAAGCTCCTGTCGCCAAACCTTGTCCTTGCCCCAGCCCCGCAAGGCCTAGGAGGAAGCCTCTCCACCCAGTGCCCCACAGCCAAGCCTGGTTCGTGTCCCCACCATATCCCAGAGGGCATCTCCCCAGGGCTCTGTGACAAGTATGCTCCAGACTCTGTCTTTTATAGTAATGGAGACCTCACCCTGTGCCAGGACACACAGCTGCCCATAACACAGGACTCTGAGTTATATTTGAATTTTTAGATAAACAACATTTAGTGTGAGGAATCCCTAACACTGCAGGGATAAACAAGAATCTGGCTGTTCCTGGACTTGACTGGCTAAATCTGTCAATATAAGCCTAGAAATACGGCTACGTTCCTGGCCTCCCTTGCAGCTAGAAAGGCCACGTGAGGAAGGCTGACCAATGGGACATGAGCACCACCTAGGCCATGCCCCTAAAGACATGGCCCAGCCTCCCAGCCTCTGAGCAAGTGCTGGTGGCTGGCACTGGTTCCTGCCCCACACCCCACCCTGCCTGGGCCTGCAGTGATGTCAGGCCCCTCCTCTCCCTGGCCTGCATTAGAGGGTGCAGACATCCTCCCAGCTGGACACCTGACTCAGTCTCTCCACGGGTGCCAGCTCCAAGGGATGACTCTGTTCACTGTGGATACCAGGCATGTCCAGCTCCACCGGCCTGAGGCAGCGCGGGGCTGGGGCCCCAGGGCCAGGGAACCAAAGCCCCAAAGGCCGAGTCCCACCTAGGGCACATGGCAGTCACTTCTGGCCTGCTGTTCACCTGGATTTGTTCCTAACCACGTTCCTGCATTACTTTGATAAAAGGCTCTAATTTTACTGAAAAAGCATTTACAGAACGAATGAAAAGAGGGAGGTGCCTGCTTCAGCTGGAGGTCACTTGTTGGGTGCTGTGTGCACATGTGCGTGGATGGGAGGACAGCCTCATCAAGTTCCCACTCAGAGCTCCCCGGTGACCACGGGCCGGGCTCAGGGCTACAGGTGGGACTGGCAGGGGAGCTGAGGCTGTGCAGGGTGGCCCTGCCCTCTCTCCCCAGGACCCTCTGTCTCCCAGTCTCAGGCAGCTGGTCCACCAGTTCAGTGGTACAGGAGCCTGGAGGGGCTCAGCCCTGGGGCAGCTGCTCTGGGGACTCAGGGGGGTCAGGCCGATTTCTACACTTTCCCAGCCTCAAAACAAGGGCAGGAAGGCAGGGGAGCAGGTCCAAGGAAGCACAGGTCACTGAGGTCAGACATGTGTGTCTACCTCTCCGCATGGGCACCGGTGTGGGACAGCAGCCAAGAGGGCTTGCCCAGCTGGAGCAGCTGGGGAAACCCAAGCCCAGAGAGGGGCCCAACCCAGGACTGCTGGGGGTGACGCAGGGGCTCTGATGGCCAGAACAGGGAAACAGGACACAGGTGTGCCACTGGGCATTTATTGACAGGGAGCAGCGTGGTCCTCAGCGCCCTGCCGGCCAGCAGGCACACAGGGCACGGCGTTCTGCCTGCAGCAGTAGGGTCTCCATCTGCAAAGCAACAAGAGGTGTGAGGGTGCAGCCCAGCTGCCCACTGGCATTCCCCTGGACCTCCACCCACCCAAGGCAGCCCTATCTCCCCAGCTCCTGAGACAGACAAGGTCAGGCCCTGGCTCTAAGCCCCACACCCAGAGCCTCCCACTTGTCTCTTCCCTCTGCAGTGGCTCCCACTGGTGGGGCCTGCCTGGGGTCTGCTGGTGCCCATGCCATGCCAGAGTGCCCACTTGCCTTCTTCCAGCTCCCACACCACCCGCAGGGGTCCGCTGTCCCCCACTCCCTCCCACCCCCATGCCTAAGGATAGTTGGGGGCTGCTCCTCCCAAAAGCTCAGCTCCAGCCTCTGGGAGTGGGGACAGGGCTCCAGGTCTTAGTCCAAGCCTTTTGGAGTGTTCCCAAGAAGGACACTAGGGCTGGTCGGTGGGGGGGACCAGGCAGGGTCTTCCCTGCTTTCTCCTTCCTAGAATTTTCCCTTTCCGGGAAGAAGCAGGAGCCCCGGCACAAACCAATACTCCTTGGCTGCACCCCATGGCCTGGGGGCTCCCTGTTCACCCAGGCTTGGAGGGGCCTTAGCCAACCTGTGCATCCACCCAGGATCCAGACCACCCTGCCCAGCCTGACCCCCCATTCCTGACACTTTGGCCACATCCTCTGGCCTCAGTTTCTCCTCTGCCCCGGGGCCTCACTGCCCACCTAGGGGATCCTGGATTGGGCTGACAGTTCTTCCTCAGGGTCCAGGTCTGTCACAGCCCTCGGGAGTGGCAGTCATAGGACAAAGTGCCCAGTGAGGGCCTTCTGGGGGAGGGGCTGGAAACAGAGCATGCTGGAGAGAGGCGTGTCTCATAGGTGAGACAGGTGCCCAGAATGCCCCTTGGATGACTGGAGCCAGAGGAAGGGGACACAGGTGTGGCGTCTTAAATCAGGGGTAAAGGATGAGGGACCCTCCACTCTCCCCCGGGGGGCCTCCTCCGCATCCTTCCTGCCCTCCCCACCCCCGGAGAAGCCCGGGAGGACCGTTGCGCTGCGGGCGCTCACCCGCGCGTCCAGGCTGCAGGCTGTCTTCCGCAGGTCCTGCAGGGCGCGCTGCATGAACTCGAAGGCGTGGCAGTCCACGCATGGG